GCCCAGGATCGGACATTGTTTCGTTCTGCTGTGCATGGGGTCGCTATGAGTCGGTTCAGACTCGATGGCACCTGACAACAACAACAACAACAACATGGATCTCTTACAATCAGTCAGCCAGATAGTTGTTTTCCGAATTTCTTGGCAGAGATGATTGAGTGCTTCCTGTGCCGCCTCACTTTCTTGAAAGATTTCAATTTTTATGCCATCAATTCCTGGTGCCTTTTTCTTTGCCAATTCCTTCAATGCACCTTGGACTTACTCCTTCAGTATCATTTGCTCTTGATCATATGCTACCTCTTGAAATGGCTGAACATTAACCATTTCCTTTTGGTACAGTGACTCTGTATTCCTTCCATCTTTTCTTGACGCTTACTGCATCATTCAATAATGTATAGGCAATTAAGACATTGGCCATTAAAATTGGGGGTGAAGGTTACACAGGCAAAAAGTTGGTGCCTTACAATCTTTCATGAGTTTGCTTAGTTTCCAAATGAGGGAGGTAAGGTAGAATTCTCACTGAACAGTTTTCTCTTTTCCAGATGGATCTAATGAAAGGGGATTCCGGATGATGGTGATAGGATTTTTTGATTCAATGGTGAGAAATTGTTACAGGATTAATCATGATTGTCATAATTGTAATTATAGAAGATGCGTAACTAAAAGGGGGGAGTAGCTAATCTTTCATTTCAGGTACAGAGGACCCCAGGTCCATCAAGAATGAAGAGCATGAGTGGAGCATGAGATCCTACCCAGAAAAGCGGGTACATCAGAGATGGTGGCAGAGGTGATGGCATAGAGAGACAGAGCAGCTAAAGACTCTAAGCCCAAGGACTGATAAAGACTGTGTGCCTCTGGGCAGGAGGCTGGCTTGCAAAATGTACCTTTTGGACATCAGAGTGAATAGGTATTTTTTGTTTTGTGTTTGTATATCACATATTTTTGCTTTGCTCACCTGTGAAAAAATAAGATATAAAAAGGAGGCAACAGGGTGGAAGCAGGATACAGGGAGGGGAGTGTAATCGTTGAGATGAAACAAAATGTGTGATTGGTTGAAAGTAAAGCTGATGATCTTGTCTGCTTAAAAAAAGAAACAAACAAACAAAAGAAAACTCTATGGAGTGTAGTTCTGCTCTGACACACATGGGGCCACCATAAGACAGAGTCAACTGTATAGCTGGTTTTTTAATATCTGGGTTTTTAATATCTATTAGGATAGTCACTAAGGAGCTCTGGTAGCATAGTGGTTACGAATCGGGCTGTGAACCACAAGGTCAGCAGTTCTGCGGGAGAAAGATGAGGCATTCTGCTGCCGTAAAGATTTACAGCCTCGGAAACCCTGTGCAGGGTCGCTATGAGTCGGAACCGACTCCACGGCACTTAACAACAACAACAACAGGACAGTCACTATCATTATGGTTCAATTACAACTGAATGCATTCTTTCACAGTTGGGATATAAGGAAAATTAATGCGTTGCATTGTACTAACTGAATTTTCAATTCATAAATACCTATCCTTTAAAACTGGTGATGATTCTATGCTAGGGAATTAGTCATATATTTTTAAATTTTATGAAATAATAATTTGCCAAAGTTTCAGTACTTACTCATTATTCACTTCATGCAGGTCAGATGCTGAATCATTTTGCTTTCCCAAAACAATGTTGATTATTTGTAATATAATCTGGGTTAGGTTCATACTTATCTCATCACATTGTGAAATATCAGATAGTTTAGAAATAATGATCTTTGTTTCTTTTTCATCCAGAGGTGGAGATTCATTTATCAAATTTAAAATGTGCACCGCAACATCATCTGCATTCTCTGGGGAGGGGGAGTGGAATATAAAACCTGCATTAATTTGGGGCCATGCTAGTCTGCTTCTTTCCCTTTAAAAACTAAAGGCAGTAAAATGGAAACACATACCAAGCTAACAAAGATCTCAGAAGGTAAGTGCTGAACCTCAATTTCTCCAATAGATGTAGTTCCAGAATGTAATACAGAAATCATGTTTTTACTCATTAAATCCATTTAAAAATGCACGAGGGAAACCCTTTGTCACTGAAGAATTATCTTGCAATTGGATTCTAATTAAGACTTTTGAGTCTTGGATTGAGTTAAAGAGATCCCACCAGTACTCAATATCAGCAAACATATAGTCATATTTTCATGATTCAGATTAGAGATGGTTTTTCTGTCACATTAAAAAAGCAAACATGGCTCCAAAACAAGAAAAGTAACTTAATTTAGATTTTTTAGAGAAGGAGAACAATAGATTTTAACTCACTCACTTTTTCTCTTCATTTTTTGTTACAGAATTTTTCAAACATACACAAAAGTAGAACGAACAGTATAATGAATCCTCATGTACCATCCATCACACAGCTTAAACAAGTGTCAATGTGTCCCTAATCTAATTTGATCTACTTTCCTCTACCCCAAGATTATTTTAAAGCAAGCCTCAGAAATCATACCATTTCATGTATAAATATTTCAGTTTGTAGAGATACTTCTAAACATCTATAAAAACTGAAATTTTTTGTGTAACCACAATACCAGTTTCATATCTTTAAAATTTCGCAATACTCAAAACCATCAAATATCCAGTCATAACTGTATCATTCCTCAATTGTTTCATAAATGCCTTTTAGAATAGTTGAGTCGTTTGAATTATCACCTACATTTAAAGTTAAGATCTTTGCTAAATACTACAACACAAACTAGACGTTAGTTTGATATAATCCATATAACGTTGTGTTTGTTCCCTTGTGGTGCCATCCTAGGTTAAAGCACTCTCAGATAAATCCAAAATGTAATGGAAAATAATTGAAAAATGCAATCTGTTGAGAAAAATTCCAATGAAAAGTTACATTGATAACACATTTAAATCATGTTATATTACAAATAACCAGCACATTTTTGGAAAACAAAACAATTCAGCATCTTACCTAAAATTCTCAATTCTCTCTGTTTCTGTCTCTGCTCTCACTTTTTCTATATGTGTTTCTATATCCTCCACAATTGGCAGTGTCTCCCCAAAATTCTGTTTTCTACTCTATGCCCCCCAAAACATTACCTACAAAGCTGTTTTTTCTCTTTCCTTTCCCTCCACAAATTTTCTTATTCTAATTTTGTTTTCTGCAAATAGCTCTCTGATCCAAACTGGCAAAGACAATTCTCCCTCAGGAGACAGTGGGGGAGAGGGTGACAGGAGATTTGTTGTAGTGGTGGTGGTGGAATGAGCAAGTTGGCAATGACTTCTACATTAATATTTTTGCCCCTGTTACATCTGTCTTATGGTCAGTTAAAGCAACTGAGAAAACAATAAGACTAAGGATGGAAGCAAACAACCCTAAGCTCTTTCCCGGATCTTTCCACTGCTCTTATTAAATTGTTCAAACTTTGCTGTAAATGGGATAGCCACAGCTGCCTACCTGGGGTCATAATTCTTTAGACTTCAGTGGTGTGACTTCAGTTCACACAATCCCTGCTGTGGCAGAATGAAAGTCAACAACAGGCCAATGGGAGACTAGCTGTATTGTGGAAAGTAATTATAGACTTTTCATGTGGAATTGTATCGTTTTAAAATAAAAATCTGGACAAATTACACTCAACTGAAAAAATTCTATGTTTCCAAGCAAATGCAATCAAAGGAATCCTCCTTAATTAATTCTAGAATAAATGAACCCTCATTTCTTGAAATACTGCTATAGTGAATCTGTCATAATTATAACAACAACAATAATAATTGTTCTTTATTGAGTAATTTCTGTAAACTAGTGTTCTAGTTATCTATTGCTGCATAACAAACTATCCCAACATTTAATGGCTTAAAACAGCAATTTATTATTTTCTCTCATGGTTCTGTGGGTTGAGCAGACTCAGTTGGGAATTTCTCTCATGCAGCAGCAGTCATATCACCATTAGAGTTGGAGCCATCTGAAGGCTAGTTTGGGCTAAACATCCAAGATACCTCCCACACATGTTGGCAGTGGATATTGAACATGGGTTGGGAACCAGTGAGGCTGTTGACTGCCTCACCTGTGGCTTGAGCTTAGTGGTGTACTGGATCTAGAGCCAGCTTGTACCAGCTCATGCCAAAGAATTATTATATTTCCAGGAATTATGTGATCTGGATGTCAAACAAAGTCATTATTAAAATTAAATTACATGATTAAATAAATTATGTTAAAAGCAATTGTGATTGTAAAACCTCATCACTTCCTGATTGTTTTGCCTCATTTTGCTAATCTTCACTCTTGTGTTTATGTCTATTAAATCTGTGTGGTGCATTTCTTAAGAACTTCAGGCTAAGTGATGACAGGTTGTAGCTTCTCTTCAGTCATGATTGAGTATTTATACAATGAAAACTGAAATTTTCTAAGAATGCTAAGGGAGAGAGCATGAGAGTGTCTTGGGATGATGCAACTAGAATAATCACTGGACAGCTAACCTCAAGGCTGGCATTTCAAACCCACCAGCTGCTTCTCAGAAACCCTAAACAGGGTGGCTTTGAGTCAGAACCAACTTATGGTGCTTAACAACAATATATATATATATACATATACATATATTTGTTACCTACTCATAGTGACCCTATACACTACAGAACGAAACACTGCCCAGTCCTGGGTCAACCTCACAATTCTGAGGCCTTTGCTGCTGCCACTGTGCCAATCCATCTTGTTGGGGGTCTTCCTCTTTTTCTCCAATCCTCCAATTTACCGACCATGATATCCTTCTCCAGGGACAGGTTCCACCTGATAATATTTCTTAAATATAAATGGCGAAGTCTGGTCATCCTGGCTTCCAAAGAGCACTCTGGCTGTACTTCTTCCAACACTGATCTGTTTGTTCATTTGGCAGTTCATGGTACCTTCAATATACTGCTCCAACACCACAACGCAAATGCATCAATTCTTCTAAGATCTTCTTTATTCATTGTCCAACGTTCACATGCATATGAGGTTACTGTAAATATCATGGTTTGGGTCAGGCTTACCTTAGTCTTCAAACTGACGTCTTTGCTTTTAAACACTTTAAAGAGGTCTTGTGAAGCAAATGTGCCTAATGCAATAATACATCGTTTGATTTCCCGACTGCTGCTTCCATGAATATTGATGGTTGATCCAAGCAAAATGAAGTCTTTGGTAACTTCAATCTTTTCTCTATTTATATAGGTTTATTGGTTCAGTAGTGAGGATTTTTTGTTTTCTTTACATTGAGATGCAATCCATCCTAAAAGGCTGTGGTCTTTGATCTTAAAGTAAGTATTTTAAGTCCTCTTCCCTTTCAGCAAGTAAGGTTGTATCACTTGCATATCGCAGGTTGCTAATGAGTCTTCCTCCAATCCTGATGCCACGTTTTCCTTTATATAATCCAGCTTCTCAGATTATTTTCTCAACATACAGTTTGGATGAGTAGGGTGAAAGAATACAAGCCTGGTGCAAACTTATCCTAACTGTAAGTCATTCGGTGTTCCCTTATACTATTCTAGCAACTGCCTCTTGGTCTATGTTCAGGTTCCTCATGAGCACAATTAAGTGTTTGGAAATACTCATACTCTGCAATGTTGTCCATAGCTTGTCATGATCCATACAATCAAAATGTTTTGTGTAGTCAATCAAGCAAAGGTAAATATCGTTCTGGTATTCTCTGCTTTCAGCCCAAATCCATCTGACATCAGCAATGTTATCCCTCGTTCCACATCCTCATCGGAATCCAGCTTGAACCTCTGGAAGTTCTCTGTCAGCTTTTTTTTTATTATTTTTTTATTACCTTTAGTAATACAAAATACTCGCATGGGATATCAGTGATATTGTCCAATGATTTCTGCATTCTGTTGGGTCACCTCTCTTTGGAATGGGCACAAATATGGATCTCTTCCAATCAGTTGGCCAGGTAGTTGTCTTACAAATGTCTTGGCAGAGATGAGTGAGTTTGTTGAAAGATTTCAATTTGTATTCCATCTATTCCAGGTGCCTTGTTCTTTGCCAATGTTTTCAATACACCTTGGACTTCTTTCTTCAGATTTTTGGCTCTTGATCATGTGCTACCTCTGGAAATGGCTGAGCATTTCTTTTTGATACAGTGACTCTGTATATTCCTTCCATCTTCTTTTGCCCCATTCAGTATTTTCCCCTGCAAGTCAAGGTTTGAATTTTTTCTTCAGTTTCCTCAGCTTGAGAAATGCTGAGCATGTTCTTCCCTTTGGGTTTCTAACTCCAGGTCTTTGCACATTTCATTATAATAATTGACTTTTCTTCTTGAACTAACCTTTGAAATTTTCTGTTCAGCTCTTGTACCTTCTCACTTCTTCCATTTGCTTTAGCATCTCTAACACTGGAGATCAAGTTTCAGAGTCTCTTCTGACATCCCTTTTGTCTTTTCTTTCTTCCTTGTCTTCTCAATGACCTTTTTCTTTCTTCTTGTACAATGTTCCTTTTTTTTTTTTTTTGTAGCCAATGGAATATTATTCAGCCATAAAAAGGAATGAAATACAGATACAAGCAGTTTTAGTTATCTAGTGTTGCTGTAACAGAAATATCACAAGTGAAAGGCTTTAACAACAACAACAAAAACCCAACAGCCTTTTTTTCTCACAGTTTAGAAGGCTAGACGTCTGGAGTCAGACCACATCGGCTCTAGGAAAAGACTTTCTCTCTCTCAGCTCCTGAAAAAGGCTCGTCGTTTCATCTTCTATTCCTAGTTTGTTGGAGATCTCTGTGTGTCTTGGCTTCTCTGTTAAGCTGGGTCTAGTTGGTTCTCAGCAGAGGGACCCCTGGGTCCAAAGGATGCACTCCACCCCTGATTTTTCTTACTTG